CGAAATCATCAGAAATGATAGAGCAACAAACAGACTAAGAATAGTTTATGATGCTTCAGCCCATAAAGACACTTTCTCTATATGACTGTATACTGGTCCTAATTTATATCCTGATATTTTTGATTTATTGATAAAATTTAGACAAAATTCGATAGCCTTTACGTCTGACATTACACAAGCATTTTTACAGAAAGAGTTAAATGAAGAGGACAGGGACGTTACACGATTCTTTTGAAAAGATGATTCTAATGATAGCAGTGAAAATTTAAAACCTTTAGATTTACAAGAGTTTTGTTTGAGATAATATCTAGTCGCTTTCTCCTAGCTGCTACTATTAAACATCACCTTAAAAAATATTCAGAAATATATCCTGAAACAGTAGAACTCTTAAACAACTGTCTGTATGTTGACGACAATATTGGTTGTCAAGAAAATTTAGAACAAGGCCTGCTGAAAACAAGTTTAGAAGTTCTGAACATTTTTAATGAAGCTAGCATGTCACTACATAAGTGGCATACTAATTCAAAGAACTCAAAGAACTATTTGGCAATCCACAAAGAATTTCCGATTTTCGATGCAAGAATCTCCTGAAGTTGTCCCGATCAAAGTGTTAGGAATTAACTGGGATACGGATAATGATAATTTTTATTTTGACACTCAGCACTTGACAAATTTCATTTCCTCGCCAATTAACTCAAAACGTTTTCTATTTTAAACTGCAGGCCGTATTTTTGATCCTGTCGGATTTTACGGCCCTTTCACTAACAGAATAAAGTGTCTGATTCAGGAAATCTGGTCTGCCAAAATTGATTGGGACGATGAACTGCCACCTGATCTTAGTTATAAATGGAAAACCTGGTACGAAGAAATTGAAGAACAGAACCACTTCACGATTCCCCGCTATTATTTAGAGGGAATATTAGAAGTAGACGTGAAATAAATAAAAGTCTATAGCTTTTCTGATGCTAGTTTGAAAGCTTATGGATGCGTGGTATATCTAAGAATAAGTTTGAACAATGAAACTTTTCAAGCAGTTTTTGTTGCTTCCAAGAGTAGAATTGCACCCCTGAAATCCCTTACACTTCCTAGATTGGAGCTCTTGGGCGCGCTTTTGTTCGCCAGACTAAGTTATAAAATCGCAAAATGTTTGAAATACGAAGTAATCCCCTTCCATTGCACTGACACTCAAATAACTTATTTTTGGATTCATGGATCTCCCGAAAGATTTAAACATTTCATCAAAAACAGAATTTATGAAATTCAGAAAGTAACTGAAAGCAATAATTGGTATTATTGCCGTGTAGAAGATAACCCCTCCGATCTCATATCACGAGGAACTAATGTTGCTAATTTAAGAAATTGCCAACTTTTGTGGCATGGACCACCCTGGGTTTTACAGTCTTCAGAATTTTGGCCTTCTGGTAATGTAGACGTTGTTGAAGAAGAAAATTTAGAATATATAAAGAAGTTTCCTTGTGCCCAACAGTATAAATGTATCGTACAAGAGAAGGATGAATTATTTGATATTTCTAAGTATAGTAATCATATGAAAATATTAAGAATAACAGCTTGGATTAAATGCTTCACTTTGAAAACTAGGAAACTTGCAAACTTGACAGATGTTCCTACAGCTGGAGATCTTAAAGATGCAGAAGAGTTCTGGATTCGTAGAATTCAAAGAATAGCATATAATTCGGAAATTTTGGCATTAGAATCTGATAAAAGCATATCGACAAAGTTATCCATATATTCCTTTTCCCCGTTTTTAGACGATAAAGGAAACTTACGGCTTGGAGGAAGATTACAATTCTCCGATTTCAGCACGGAAGAAAAACTTTCTATTCTCTTGCTTCAAAATTCAAAATTTACGGAACTGATTATTGAAAAAGAACATGACAAGTTAATGCACAGTGGATTTACAGCCACTTTGACCAGCCTTCGAAAAGAATACTGGATACCGAAAGGCCGACACCTTGTGAAGAAAATACTTAGAAACTCTTATTTGTAGAAATTATACAGCAAAACCTGCTCAGCAGATGACCGCACAGCTGCCAAAAGACAGAATAGTTCAGACTCCATCATTTCTTGTTTCAGGAATGGACTTCGCAGGTCCTATTTGGGTTAGATCAGCAACCGGAACTGAGAAATCATACATAGTTCTTTTCACCTGTGCCCTTTACCAGAGCCTTTCATTTAGAGTTAGTCTCCAAAATGTCAACAGAAAATTTTTTGAGGGCTTTTCGCGATTCGTATCAAAACGAGGACATTGTGACACAATTTACTCGGATAAGGCCAAAACCTTTCAAAAATTAAGCCGACAATTCGAGCATTTTTCAAAAAGGATTCTGAAGGATTCCAAATTTCAAGATTTTATTGCCTGTAAGAAGATAAGCTGGAAATTTATTGCAGAACGTGCTGCATGGCATTGTAAGTTAAAGACCTTTAACTTACAATGCCTTGGAAGAATCAGAGCCTCTCACACCAGCACACTTTCTCAACTTTGGTCGAACAAATCATAATTATCACCTTCATTTTATCGAGATGATTGACAAGAATTCGAATAGAAGTTATCTGATGAAAAGACAAGTGTACCAAACTACACTTTTAGAACGTCTCTTAGAAAAGATGGAAGGAAAAATATCTACTTGACTTGCGAACGGCTCCCCATTTGGATACTCCTAACCCAAGTAAAGAATTAAAAGTTGGAGATGTCGTTCTTTTGCAAGGGTCTACAAAGTCCAAACTCGTACGAGAACTTGATGTGGCTGTGGAGTTATATAGAGGACGAGATCAACATGTTCGTTCTTGTTTAATTAAGACGTCCAAAAGACAAATTAAGAGACCCGTACAACTCTTATACCCTTTAGAAGTTGTGAACCAACCTGAGAACTATTGATTGAACTATTGACATTTTTTAAACATTTGATGAGAACTTTTTAAACTTATAGATTATTCAGTAATTTCTTATGTTTAATTGATTAATTTGTTTTATTTTATATTTTCAGTAATTTCTTATGTTTAATTGATTAATTTGTTTTATTTTATATTTTAATAGATATTCAAGAAGATTTTTTTTCTTTTTAAATTGTTACAGTAAGTAAGTATTTTCATTTTATTTGGATTTAATTGTTATTCTGTTTAATTGTGTGAACTCAATGAGTTCAGGTGGAGTGTAGAGAAATATGTCATACGGCGATAGCAGCGCCCTCAGCAAGTAAAAGTTAGATGGTAGACGGGAATGGCGCATTAAGCCTTTGATTTGTAGAATTTTCCGTATATTGATTTATTAACTGATTGACTGTATATAAATAAACATTTAACTTAACCTTGTCGAATATAGATCAATCATAGATATAGATATGATGTTCTTCATATAGCAGGATTGATTTTAGATACGGTAGAACTTTCGACTTCGAATAAAACCCCTTTCGCGACAGCATGTCTTTCCCTCTTGTATGTTTCTTCCGAAAAGCGACAAAACAACAATTCTTCATTTTTTTTTTAATAAAAGTATCTGACATATATCAGTAACCTAGCTATTTTTAAACATTGTTTCGTTCAAATAAATTGTTATTTCTCTGTGTTCTTTAAGAATATCAATCTCTGTGTTCTTTAAGATTATACTCAAATTCATCGTTGCTAATTTCAGAAATTAGCAGTGACTAACTGCGGTAAAGGAATTTTCCGAATTTCATCGTAAACATCCGAAATTCCGAGAAATATTTCCGCCTTTTCATAGCAGCAGATAATACAATGATGTTCTCCAGTGGTGTATAATTTGAATTTTTTTATATATTACTATTATTTAGAAATCCGATATGAAAAACGCGAGAAAATAATTTTCGCTAACAGTCATAAATTTCTCAAAATATTGTTTTCCTTTATTTGAAGATTTTAACAGACGTTCGAAATATTCTTTCGATTTCATTCTTTTTGTGCAAAAGATGCTGGAATTCAAGATGCCATTTAATTTTGATGGCTTCATATTCATTATAGCTAAAACATTAATGCAAATTAAATAAAGAGGTTGCTCATTACCACCACAGTTGTTGAAAGTAAAGCCAAACTGGAGTAATATCTCACCAAATTTTCTTTTCGTATCTTAGATGAATTTTCTAATCACTAGATCTTGCTTCAAGAATCTTTGTAACATCTGCGCCATTAAATTTGTTAAGTTCAACCATTTATTCGTGAGTAAAAAATATTTTATTCTAAAATATAAATAAAATAATGCCTCTCATAATAATTATTCAAATAAATACCAACCTTAGTTGAATAAAATAGTGAAATGTAATACTGTATTGCTTTTGAGATGTACACACTTGTTGTGATGAAACAGAAACAACTTCGTTATTATGATACAATTACTGGTATATTTCAATATGTAAATATAATTTACAGCTCAACTTGAGCAGTATTACTATTTTATAATACGTCTGTACAAAAGATATAATATATTAAACTATGAGGTATTAAACTATAATAGGTAATGAAGGGATTATGACAAATGCTTCTTTAAATTAACGTATTAACGAATTAAATTTTCGCTACTCCAGTATTTCGGTTTGGGACTCCCTCTGGAATCACGACCCACAGTTTAAGAAACACTGAACTAAGATATTGTTCCGATAATCACAGAAAATAAGTATTATTATTTTAAAAAATAGGTATTATCATATAAATAAATATTGAATACATTATAGACCCACATGAATACAAATAAATACAAAATTATGCAGTCAAGAAAGAGAGGAAAGACATTCCCCCCCCCCGAAAAAAAAATCTCGTAAAATCAATTTTGATTTACTAGCTTTTAAATAAAATTATAGAAAAACAGAATTTAATTTTTTTTTTTTTTTTTTTTTTTCTTTTTTTTTTTCTAAATTTGCGATATCTAATTGCAGAAAGAATGAAAATTTAGAACACAGTACACCTATTCGTTTCTAAACTGCATAGATAATATAATATGCACTGTTAAGATAAGACAATAGTTAACTTACCGTTAAAGCGCAGAGGTGAAAGGATCAATCACTTTCAGAGAAGCGCTGAAATAAACTCTCACGCGCGTACAGAAGAGGCGTTCCATTTTCCACTGTTTCAAGGAAGGTCGCCACTCATTGGTCAAATAAAGAAATCCCTTTCTAATAGCATAGAATTAATTTTCAAAGAAGTGTTGCTCTGTGTTGCGAGTAATATTCTAAATCATATATTTGTCCACAAAAGAAATGATTGACAAGCAGAGGTAAACTTCTAAGCACATGGCAAAAAAAAAAAAATGAAAAAATTTAAAAAGCAGCTTGGAAGAATATTTTTAAAGACTGAATACAATACCTTTTAACATCTTCTTTAGGAAGAATTCATTAATATGAGATTTTATAGCAAAGGTATACTTGCAGAAACAGATTTTTGATGATTTTTGCAATAATGCATCCATAAGGTATTAAATTTTGCACATGTGGTCATATTAACTACGCATTGTAGAATGTTTAGCAAAGCATAATCAAGGCAAGAATACTGTTTTCTTTTTAATGAAATAAACATTTGTAATTTATATGTTTTTATTCTCTAAACTTTCTTATAACTCTGCTTGATCTTGAGGTGGGTCAACATTCATTAAATATGATACAAAACACAAATACACCTTTTGTTGTCATATCAAAATAAAGTGAAAATAAATGGAAATATGGGAAACTCATATTTTAAAATGAGTTTTTCACTTGTTTGGGTTTACTAATTTTTCATTTGTAGGGGTATGAAATCTTTTACAAAAGTAGATCTGTTCAGTTGTAGAGACATAAGAATTTTTTTTAGAAGTAGGCAAGATGAAAAATTATAGCAATCGCCTTCGCCGGGAACCGAACCACGGACCTCAGGAATACCGGCCCAGCGTGCAGAACCACTACACCACGAAGGCACGCTAGGAAGGTGGGATAAATACCTTATACAGTAATAAATTTTAAAATTTATAGCAATATTTTTTTATTTATTGCTAGCAAAGTATAAGTAAAGGAAACGAAAGCGTATAATTTTGAATTTATTAAACATTAATGAAGGTAGGCGTCGCATTCCTAATTTAAGAAAATAAGGTACTCTTCTGTTTTGAAGGCCGTAAAAAAATTGCAGCGAAAATGTATGCGCAAAAGCACCAAATCTAGCAAACGCGCCCATTTAACAGCGCACCAAATCTAGCGTACGTGCTGGTTTCAGATTGCGTGAGTTTACATAGTTCTATATTTCTTAAAACGCCATTAAAATACTAGTTTAATCTTTAAATTCTTTTTTGATTTTAAATCCTTCTTTGATATCCTATGGATTTAACAATTTGGGAATTGCCCATGATGAAAAGTCGGCAATAGAATTTTGGGTAAAGTGCAGAATCACTCACTGCTTGACGCGTTTTTAAGAATTGGACATACTCGGTATCCATGTGCACATCGACCTATTTTCACTTAAAAAAAAATCCCAGAATTGCACAAAAATGGCACTGCGCACCCCCTTGACTTTATCTATGTACACATCGACCTATTTTCATTTAAAAAGTAAAATAAAATTGACAAAAATCCAGTTGTTTTTACCCTTGTAAAAAGCGGCAAACAAATAAGTCAGCGATTCTGCACTTCTGAATTCCGATTTTGAATATTTTCAAAGAAAAGACATCATTCATTATAGAAAATTACGTTTGAACAACCAACGAGAGGAAATTATGCTTTAGCGATAAGTCGGTAGCGAAATAGCGATGCAGGCATCCATTCAGTTATGTTTAGCAATTTTTATATAAATTATAATAATGATTTGAAATAGTTATTTACTCTTATGCTTCCAGTCATATTTAGCCTTTTTCATATAAATTATAATAATAAAAAAGTGTTATATGAAATTAACTTTTCATCTAAATTAAAACATCAATCTTAGTTATTTACTATTATATTTCCTTTCTTGCCGCAATTATTAGGGTTGCCGCAATTATTTTTGGCAGCATTGGCATCAACAATAGTTTGGCGATTTTTTACGGCCCTCGAAACTGAATAGTACCGAAAATAATTTCATTTCACAAATTTTGATGGTTAAATGTAAATTAGCAACAGCAAATGTACTTTGTGATAGACTAAACGTGTTGACGCTTATTAAAAATATGTTTTCTGACCATTAGGAAACAAAAAGTCGTAATCACTATTAATGAATTGAATTGTGTCCAAATTCTAAATGTCATAAACACCGGCTACTCTGTTTTTGCAGCTACTGAATTTAGTTCTACGTCCAGACATAGCACATGCCTAAAACAAGATGTGAAATAACTGTTCTTTTAATTTAAGCCTAAAGGTGAAAATCAGTGTCCATAAATACGATATCCGCTTCATGGTGAGCTCAAAGAGTGTCAATTAGAGTAACCCCCGCAATTACGTAATTAATGCGTTCCTTAGTATTCCACTTGAAAATAAACAGTCTTCATCTGCATGCAATTAAAACATGCAAACTAAAACACAATAAAACAAAAATTCAAATAGAACCACAAAGATCGTAGTAATTTTAAAATAGTACAAAACTGAATGATAAATTGATGATGGGATTCAGGGTAAATAAATTTTTCTTCAACTTGATTCTAAACCTTAAATTCGAACTAAATGAATTTTTATTTGAACCAATCATTTCACGTTTTAATAGTGTATCTGAATGCATTATTAAAATGTGAATATAGTGTTATTAAGAACCTTGCTTTTCTGCTTTATGTGGCTTAGTTTGTCCATTAACAACAGATAAATTACATCTGAAGGGGAAATTAAATATTTGATGCTTTGCTGAAAGGCAACATCTCGCACGCAGATTATAAAACATTTCATTCCGGCAATGGCAACGCTGGTTTTAATTTCGCTGGATTTATCAATCAAAAATCTGTTCTCTAATCAATAAATTGCATACCAATTTTAAAAATCGAAGCCACAACAAATTTCCAAATCTGCTATTCAAAACAGTTATTTAAAAGTAGTCTAGAAATAATTAGCTATAAAATTTAGAAATATATAAATAGTCTAGAAAAAGCAGCACAAAATATATTTTATGTGGAATAAATCTTTACGAAAAGTAAAAGAATATAAGTAAAAGCAAATATAAATTATCAGTTTAGAGTTTGGACTTTCTTTGGTAGAATAAACTAGCATCATGTAGACTTGGAGTGAGTCATCGCTTAACCCTTTGGTTGTATCATATCCACTCTAGTAGACAAAAGTTTAAGTTTGTTTATTCTTCTGTAAATGCCTTAACAGATTCCATTCCTGTGTTTTTTCATTCTATATTATTAGAGCTTTCAACTGTCGATCATAGATGACGATATATAGCATTCACTAAGTAAAGCATTGCTATTTGGAAAAATGGCTGCTACATTCTGTTTCCAAGTTAGTACAATTAGTACAATTTCTCATAGTAAACATTATAGAATATTGCTTACATTTTCTTACACTGCCATTTTTTATTCATAATCAGTAACTTTTAGACATTTTATTTTAAATGTCAAGTTTGAGAAAATTGTTGGCGTGGGTAGATACAAGATCTACCAAAAAAGAGTGAAATTGAAACCCAAATATACTGCTTATCAAGCCAAAACACCACTGGAAATGTTTATGTTTGGGAAGGAATTTCTAGAAGGTTTGACATTTGAAATCCAATAGGTACAGGTTATAAAATCGAAATAGCAAAATGAAATTCAATCACAATTGACGAAATGAAGGTATTTTGGGGGGGATCTGTATGTATCATGTCAGTTGTAGATTTAACCATTTAGAAGATGGTAATGATCCACAGCAAACAAGGCAGGAAATGAATGATTTCAAATGCAATGAACTGTAAATCGTTGGGAAGAGATTTGTATGCATGTACGTATATGCATGCTGTCCACTGTAGTGAACAAACTGAAGCAATTATTTACAACGAAATTTGAATAATTTTTTTTATTATTATTACTAAGGTTATATTAAGTAGAAAAAATACAAACATTTTCGTTTAACTTTGTATGGAACAAAGGGTTAAGTTAACGAAACAGGCTTGAGATGGTCAAACTAATCCTTTTATTAAATCAGAACTTGAACATAAAATGCACATCTCGTGCCTACAAATCAGTCATCGCTTGTGGCAATGTAACTTAAAGTAACAATCAAATTCAAACTAAGCCTGGTAGTCAAAGACTACACAATTGATTTTAAATTCTAAGTTCGCTTAGAATTTCTCACCGACGTAATAATAAAATGTCAGCAGCAATAATGCAAAGCCGAAGAATTAAACTGTCAAACTAAGCCTGGTAGTCAAAGACTACACAATTGATTTTAAATTCTAAGTTCGCTTAGAATTTCTCACCGACGTAATAATAAAATGTCAGCAGCAATAATGCAAAGCCGAAGAATTAAACTGGTTAATTAAAATAATAATAACACTACAAGTTTAAAAAATGAGAAATAGAATTGCTCGATAGGAAATATAAACTCAGTAGTTAAAATGTGTCATAACATAAAGATGTAGCTCGCCAAAAAAAAAAAAAAAAAAAAAAAAAAAAAAAAACATTATTTTGATTTTTAATGAGATTTTATACAATTATGCAATAAAGTAAAAGGAAATGGGAATACAGCTGTGGAATAAAAACAGAATTCTCTACAGAAAAGTAAACATGTTAAAAACATGCATTAGGAATAAAGATTACCAAAAATTCGGTTACTCATAAGGAAGCCTTTCTGAGCAGAAGCTAATTTTGAAATATTTAAATTATTTTTATTTTAATTAAGGATGCAAAGTAATTCGCTTCTTTAAAATTGGACCTGTGATGCAAAAAAAAATGAGGACAAATTCGTTTGTGATTTTTGAAAGAATAATATTTCAGAAAGTTCCGTTTCTAAATTGTTTTGAATGGTTGGCCGTAAAACTATAATTCTAGTTTAAAAAACGAATCAAATAAAGTACGTTTAAGAGCTTCGGGCAGGTACGTTTTAGCAAAAATATATGAAATTAATTTAATATGAACTTAATATTTTCATACAAATCCAGTAGAAAGAAAAAATGTCCACGAAAAAAATGTTTTTTTTTTTTTTTTTTTTTTTTTTTTTTATGAAAACTCCATGATCATACCAAGAAAATCAGTTGAGACAGAAC